TACACACACAAATACACCTCGTATCGCCTTCAACAGGCGGTTGTATCCCCTTTGTTGGCTGCGTCGACCGTAGGGGAGAAGGCCCAGGACAGGTTAAATATTCGCTGTAACTGTGAGCTGGAATCGAACTCGGGTCTCTCCCAAGTTCGCATCTTAATCCGCTAAATACATAATTTACACACACACACATGGACACACGTGTAGATTTACACACACACGGACACACAGACACACACACGGACACAAACACACATGGACACAAGTGTAGATTCACTCACGCACATACGAACGCACACACACACACGGACACACAAAGACAAAGGTTCCTCGTATAGCCTTAACAGTCTGGCACAGTACACGAGGGGGTAAGGTGGCCAGTCCCACGCCCGGCCGCCTTTGTCTCCCCAGCGGCAATAATCACACACCGCACCAGGTTACTCATTTAGGACTGAGTCGACCTAAGGGAGGCCCATGACCGGTTCAGATAATCGTCACCGGTGTTGGCCGTGAGCAGGAATCGAACCCGGGTTACTGGGTTCATGGCGCAGCGCGCTAACCGCTACACCACCGCTCCCCACTACAAACACACAGACTCATACACACGGACACACACACACACACGCGCCTTCAAACAGCAGCACCGCGTGTAAATGCCACCATAAGTAAAACTGCTGGCGCGCGTGATTTACGATTAAAGTTCGCAGTGAATTTCTAAAATCCTGCAGCAAAACACAAAGGGGGCAGAGAGCAGCAAAGACAAAGGTCCCCCGTATAGCCTTAACAGACTGTTGGGGCAAGTGCCGTGAGCGAGTAGCATCTATGAAGGCCGGAACAGCACACGAGGGGGTTGGTGGCCAGCACCACGCCCGGCCGCCTTTGTCTCCCCAGTGGCGATGCTTACACACCGCACCAAAGGCAGCACACACACAGACACACACATTCACCGACATACACACACAGACACACACATTCACAGACATACACACAGACATACACATTCACAGACATACACACAGACATACACACACAGACACACACATTCACAGACATGCACACAGACATACACACACAGACACACACATTCACTGACATACACACAGACATACACACAGACACACGCAGAGGACGATCGGCAGTTTCCAAAAGTTGTAAAATATGTAAGTAATATACGCCGTATAATTCTAGGGCTTGTCATAAATATTCCCGTTTGCACATTTTTGTCTAGATGATATTTCGACATTTATACACGGGTCGACGAATTTATAGGATGGCGCAAACGGTTTTCGCTCTTGGATGAAAGTTTGCTCATATTCCTCCTCACACGCGTGTTTATAAATGTACATGAATATAAACGTTTCACACGTATATATTTTTATACATTTGACGCGAGGTGCGGTGATATTTGATCTAGGTTCATCGCCCGGGGAGATATTTTCGCGACCGTTAAATATATAGTGTAACTTTGCAGAGCTCTTGTACGTTTATTTTTTGTTTAACGTCTTCTCAACGTGTACGTATTCAGCATATGCGGCAATACCCCGGTTTGCGTCGGGGATGCGTTCCTGAACGGTGAGACGAGGAATTGATCGAAACGACGTAAAACGAAGCAACCCACGGGGTGCTGTGGTGATGGAGGCAAAGTTCTGAGAAGCGACGTATAACAGGAAAGGAATGGCAACGATGATGCCGTCAGCGACGTAAGTGTGGGGCTTGAGGCGACACGAATCTGCTAGCGATGTTAATGATAACAGTGACGACGTATATCGAAACGACGTTAACGGGGGATAACATAAATCAGGGTATTACTGTGCGTATAAACACACACCCACACGCGCGCGCACATTGATGAGTAGCTGCTTTCTCTCGGCTTCACCGTCACACTCGGCGGCGTGGCGAATTACTCGGTCCACCGATAACAAGAGACGGACTCCAGCGGAGGGGTGTTGAGCGTGAGACTCGGAACAGCCATCGTTGGTTTGTCTGCTGAACCCCCCCGCCCACCCCCCAACTCTCAAATGCATTGAACCCCGATCGCCCACGGCTACCGAAAGTTTGAGGGTGTGAGCCTTCGCAAGGGAATTCGTTACAGATGTTTGTATTCGAGCGTTCGGTTCTTTTTTTTAGCCGGTGTAGAACGTCGTGATATTTGAAGCAAGTTACTCGTTAACGAGAAAACTTAAGCACACACGTCAATAAAACTGCCTTGAAAGGGAAAATAATAAAATATGCGACGTTTCGGGTAAAGGTCCTTTTTCATAGCACGTAAATATAGAGTCGATGACAACCGATCACTACCAATTATATTATTGGATGCCGTTCCAGCCTTCATAGGTGCTCGCTAACAGCACTTGCCTCAACAGCATGTGAAGGTTACACGGGGGATCTTTGCTTTGTTGTCTTCATCTGTACGTGGGGAGCGGCAGTGTGGTGGTTAACGCACCACGCTACGAACCGCTGCTACTCAAGTTCAATTCCCACTCATGGCCAACACCAGTGACGATTATCTGAACCGGTCTTGAAGCCTCCCTTAGGTCGACTCAGTCTTAAGTGAGTAAGGATGCTGGTTGCGGTGTGTATTCAACATCAGCACTGGGGAGACAAAGGTGGTCAGGCGTGGTGCTGGCCACCCACCCCCTCGTGTGCACTTCTGGCCTTCATAGGTGCTCGCTAATAGCACTTGCCCCGACAGTCTATGTAGGCTACGCATGAAATCTCAATGTGTATAATTGATTCTGTTTATATATGACTGTCTTTATGTATGCATGTATGTATGTGTGCGCACACACTATACACATATAATTACGGATATTCCGTACATGTGTGTGCCTGTGAAGAATATATATGCATATACGCACGCATACAAGTGTAACGAGGCCTCGTATAGATATTAAAATGCCGTATATCGTATTCGTCACCATCATGCTCAATATATATTTGTCACACGGGAAGTCGCGCGTAGCCAGTTACCCGGCTAGCTTCCAAGGGAGATCCGTGGTGTGCATGGGCACAGAACGGGCCGTGGGGAGAGATCGATGGAGCGTTGCTGTAAAGGAATCACGTGGCGAGGCAGAACAGCGGAATCACCCCGGCGTATTGAGGTTGTGGTGTCGCGATACGACTTAGAAAACACCACAACCACCACCACCAGCACCACCAGCACCACGCAGCCACGCGTTACCGTTGTTGTGGCTGTATTTGCGTGTTGTTGTCTTCGTCACTGTTGATCGGTGATGTAAGAACGAGAAGTCACTAACAACAATAACCACCTCCTCCTTCGCCCCCCCCCCATCCTCCTTCTCAAAGCCCAGACGACGTCGCTTAAGATCCCTGGCTCCGATCTCCAGCCGTGAATCTCGTGGACCACAGTCCCTGACTCGATCGCATCATCCGCACTCAAACCACGACAGCGGCAGCAGCAGCAGCAGACGTGGACTCGTGATGACGAGGATGATGATGAGAGACAAATGGGAGATTAAGAATCTCTCATCGGGCAGTGTGTGGCCACTGTGGTCGCCACCCAGAACGGACAGCACCGTGGCACATAGAACGTCGGACTCAATGCGCGATTCACAGACACGGAAGGAGGAGGAATCGTTATCATCGTCAGCATCATCAGCGTCATCATCATCAGGCATCATCATCGTCAGCATCATCATCATCATAGTCAGCATCATCATCATCGTCATCATCGTCAGCATCATCATCATCATCATCGTCAGCATCATCATCATCATCGTCAGCATCATCAGCATCATCATCATCATCAGGCATCATCATCGTCAGCATCATCATCGTAATCATCGTCAGCATCATCATCGTGACAGCAGCGACGATTCACCTCTCCGCTAACTCCTCCGGCTCAGCCACCACCTCGATGCGACGTCACAGTTGTTGCCCTCCACCGACATCAACCACGTGGCCCACACGCAGCAGGTCGGCGGAGAAGCGAGGTAGCGTTGGATGATCGTGATGATCGTGATGGCCGTGATGATCGTGATGATCGTAATGATAGTGATGGTCTTCATGATGGTGGTTCGTGGTGGTCGTGGTGGTTGTGGTGGTCGTGGTCGTCGTGGTGGTGGTCGTGGTGGTGGTCGTGGTGGTCGTTGTGGTGGTCGTGGTGGTGGTTGTGGTGGTGGTTGTGGTGATCGTGGTCGTCGTGGTGGTGGTCGTGGTGGTCGTGGTGGTGGTTGTGGTGATCGTGGTGGTGGTTGTGGTGATCGTGGTGGTGGTCGTGTGGTGGTCGTTGTGGTGGTCATAGTGGTGGTGGTCGTGGTGGTGGTTGTGGTGATCGTGGTGGTGGTCGTTGTGGTGGTCATAGTGGTGGTGGTCGTGGTGGTGGTTCGTGGTGCTTGTGGTGGTGGTCGTGGTGGTCGTGGTGGTGGTCGTGGTGGTGGCTGAGCGAGATGGTGGTCGTGGTGGTCGTGGTGGTAGTTGTTATGGTGGTCGTGGTGGTGGTTCGTGGTGGTCGTGGTGGTGGTCCTGGTGGTGGTCGTGATGGTGGTCGTGGTGGTGGCTGAGCGAGATGGTGGTACACGTGGGGAGCGGTAGTGCAGTGGTCAGCGCGCGCTGCGCTACGAATCCCGGCGACCCCCTCACGACGAAACATCATTTGGGCCTCCTTCTACGTCGACTCAGCCTCAATTGCGTACCTGGTGTGAGATGTAAACACATTGCCACGAGGGAGACAAAGGCGGACGGGCGTGGTGTTGATCACCCCCCATCCCCCCCCCCCCACCTGTGCCATTCCGGCCTTCATAGTTGCTACTCGCAAACAGCACTTGCCCCAACAGCCCGTCAAGGCTACACTGGGGGGGGGGATCTTTGTCTTTGGTGCGCCGTTTGCGATTTCAAATCATGGGCGGCGACCGTCGTCGTCTCGATGACCGCTCATTTCACGCGCGTGTTTGCAGAAACCTTCGTCTCGCGTGCTTAGCTTCATCTATTTATTATGATTTTTATTGACGTTGTTGTTGTTGTTGTTGTTCTTGTTGTCCGAGCGGGTCGCGCGCCTGCCCGAGAGGTTCGATCGGCCTCGAACGAGTGCCCGGCGCGGTGCGTGAACATCGCCGCTCACGGAGATACAAAGGCGGCGTGGGACACCGCGTGGTTCGCTACCCACACAGCCCCCTTCGTGTGCCCTGCCGGCCGTCGGAGGTGCTGCTCGCTAACAGCACTTGCCCGCACCACACCCTCTCCCCCCGACACTCTGTTGAGGCTATGGGGGAAGGGGGGGGGGGTCGTTGTCTTTGTCCGTGTGTAGGGAGCGGTGGCGCAATGGTTAGCGCACTGGGTTGCGAACCCGGCAATGATCGTGATGATGGTGATGATCGTGATGATACTGATGATCGTGATGATCGTGATGATCGTGATGATGGCGATGATCGTGATGATAGTGATGATCGTGATGATGGTGATGATGGTGATGATGGTGATGATCGTGATGATCGTGATGATGATCGTGATGATCGTAATTATCGTGATGGTCATGATGATCGTGATGATCGTGATGATCGTGATGATTGTGATGATCGTGATGATCGTAATGAATGTGATGATAGTGATGATCGTGATGATTGTGATTATCGTGATGATCGTGATGATCGTGATGATGGCGATGATCGTGATGATAGTGATGATCGTGATGGCAACGCGAGTTTGATTCCCTGCTCAGCGCCTCGACGGTGAATATTTTAATCGGTCTTGGACATCCCCTAAGTCGGCTCAGCCTCAAATAGGCTACCTGAGGCGGTGTGTAATAATCGGCAGTGGGAAGACAAAGGCGGTCGGGCGTTGTTCTGGCCACACCCACCTCGTCGTTTGCCGTTCCGGAACTTTGTCTTTATTGTTGTGCGCGTATATCATCATCAGCCATGGCCAATCCACTGCTGGATGAAGGCCGTCCCAATCCTCCACAATATATCACGATCCTTCGCTGCAATTGATAATCCACCTGCACATTCGAACGATCTTCCTTGCTCCATCTCCTCGGGGCGCGTCCTCTCTCTCGACTCGTTCCATCGCTGTTTAATGCTCTCAACACATTCGTGACATGAACAACAAAACCCCGGGCTGGAACGTGCCCCTGCTCATTTGCGCGTATCGATCACTGGAGTAATTACGTCCGAGAGTAATTGGCCGTCCTCGTCTCTGTCTCCTCTCTCCAGCTCCGAGATGAAAATGGAACTTTCCCGTCCAGCAGGAGAAGCTCTGGTTGTGTCGTCGTCAGCGCCACCACCACCACCCGACCGCGTGCCATCACTCGCGCTGTCACTGCTGCGTGGTGACCCTCTGTGACAAACGTGATGCTGTACGTCTAAAGAAGCAATGAACTTAAACCAAAAATTACCAGTCGCCCAGCCAGCAAACCAGTCAACCAGCTAACCAACAAATTCACCAACCAGTCGACTAACAACTAACTAACTAACTAGGTAACACATCGACCATCCAACCAGCCAACTACTCAACCAATCAACTGAAACATCAACCATTCAACCAATTCACCACCCAACGAGTGAGCCAACTAACCAACCTCCCAACCAACCAGTAGACCAATCAACCAGTTAACCAACTAACCAACCTGTCAACCAACCAGTAAACCAGTTAACCAACCGGTCAACCAGTTAACCAACCATTACAACCAATCAGCCAAAAACTCGTGGTTCAAGGCGGTCCGCTAATCATCCAACCAGTGTCACTGCAATCGCGATTTGACAACTCTTCGTCGACCCAAATGTCGCCGCGCATGCCGGAAATAGTTACCCGGGGCCGGATTTGAGTCCATCCCTCGACACTGATGTGAGCCACTGTCCACGCAACTATGCCGAGGCTAAGCTAATCGAACCGTCGTCTCGTTGCGCTCCCGTGAAATGTGTACAGGATGCACGCTAAAGTTAGCGTCTGGGCTGGAGAAAATAAAAAAACAGAGCGTGAATTACTCTATGGCAGTGTTGTAAACACACGTCGCGAAATCATATATTGTACCGAGAAATAATGACGTATTCTCCGGATTGTAAGAGGCACACCCCACCCCCCCCCACACACACAAACTCGTGCCGTGTGTGTCAATAAAGTTATACGGCTCTGGTCATCCACACACGCGCGCGCACAACTACCGGATTATAAGACGCACCACCCCTCCACACAAACTCGTGCCGTGTGTGTCAATAAAGTTATACGGCTCTGGTGATCCACACACGTGCACGCACAACTACCGGATTATAAGACGCACCCCCCCCCCACCTACAACCAAATTCTACTCGGACACAAATGGCGTTGTGATGCTACTGCTGCGTTGGGGGCAGTGGCGTACAAGCACAATTAATAACAACAACAACAAATCTTCTTGGTTCTTTCGGTATAGTCACGTAGAAGGGAAGTAATAAAATAATACAAATAAAACATAATAAAATAATTCTCACGACGTTTCGGCCACAACGCAAGCAGCCGTCCTCAGGTCGTGAGAATTATTTTATTATGTTTTATTTGTATTATTTTATTACTTCCCTTCTACGTGACTTTACCGAAAGAACCAAGAAGATGAATCCCTGCAGTCACGAAAGCTTTAAATCGAAACAACAACAAATTCAACACGTTTCGTGTCAATAACAACACAGTGTGTGTGTGTGTGTCTTGGGGGGGGGGCGTCCTTAAAACAATATATAACTATAATCTGCAACGTTTTGAACTACGGCTCCCTTCTTGAGCGTGAATTTTCTATGGGCATAACCCAGCTGGCAACAATTGCCCAATAATCGTCGCGCAATTCACCGTGGTTTTGTCAAGCGCAGGAGACGGAACGGCGAAAGTGAAATCGTCCACCTCGCGTGTCACCGGTCGGGACTCGTGGCGTTCCAGGAATACGCCGATAGAACACTTTGGGGCTCACTTCTTTTTGTTATTTGATTTACAGTTACCAGCTCGAAATGCGAATGCACTCGACACGTGCGTGAATTTGCGGCGGAACGAGGCGTTTAAAATAATTTGGCGATTCAAAAGCCTCCTGGGTAAATAATGATTGCGACTTTTTGAACGCACCGATGAGCTTCGCTGGTGAGTGTGAATATATTTGACAAGACACTACGTTTGTTTTTATTCATTTTAATCGTCGTACTGTACGGTGTCAAATATGACGTAATTTTCAATGAACCATTTCTTTGCTTGCGATATTAATGGCGAGTTATGAAGTTGTTTTAGTATGAAATGGCAGTCACGAAGGCTGCGAACGGCATCTTCGTAGTCGTAATGTTATAAGTTATTCAGTAAACGAAGTTTCAATATGTGAACGAAGCTCCAGGAACCGGTCTACTTCGTATATCGAGGTATTTACTGTATCTACAGAGACTGAATTTTGTCTGTGTATATATATTTACCTTATGTCATGTGCGATGGGTTTGTGTTTTGTGTTTCAATTGTGCAGGAATTTTAATTGGGCTGTAAACGTGGGACAGATACTGTGTATACGCACGAGCGAACACACGCACACACGTACACACGCATGCGTTTTATTTATTAATACGTACATTGCGTGTGAATGGAAATGCAACTCCAAATAGCATTGTATTGTAACGAATGCTGCAATATTGTAGTCATATCAACATTGTAGTACGAATTACAAACACAACCTGTATTCCTTACACCGCAATGGATACGCTATTCAGTGTTTTATAATCGGGATGATGAGATTTGCGTTGTAAAAAAAACAAAGATAGTCATAGATTTTTAGCTTTTGACCTCTTCTGGATTTTCGGACCATGTTTAAATGTGCGTCTTATTTTCGTCTTCTTTGAGCGTGCGCCCACGTGATGACAAAGGTGACGTCACACCGCACGCCTGCGCGTCACGCATCCCATACGCGACACCAAGTCACCGCCATCTCCCGTGGCGTCAGACATTTGGGATCGATCCTAAATGCAACAACAACAACAACAAAAAATGTAAAATAAACAAAAATGATGTTTATATTTAAATTAATAAATAATGTCCGCGAATAAAAGCGCGCTATAACGAATCAGCGTTGTAGGGGACTGCGCTCAGAGATTTACACAGCATTAAGATCATTCGTAAATGTCGTAGATTGCAGGCCTCGATTTCCGATTCTTCTTTTTGTCATCCTTACATTAGTGACGAATTGGCCACGTTCTGTTTACGTGACAACCCTTACTCGTTGGCTGTGTCGGCTGGTGGCGGGTTTTAACGACACATTTATATATTTACGCGATTTAACCCACAAAAGAACCTCTCTCTATTGTGGATGATATTCGTCGCGAAAGCCTCCTGCGTGCTAAACTGTACAGATTAACTCGGGGAACCCGTGTCTAGGTTAATACCAAGTTGCTCTTTGCGTTGCTGCTGCTGCTACTGCTGTTGGTCACTCGGGGATATGCGTCTTGTCGACTAAGCGCTTACGTCTGACAGAGCAACGTGACTTTGCGTGACAAAGCCTGGCTCTGCTGATGAGACCCAGAGGCGGGGAAGGGGGGTGGGGAACCCGCTTCTGAGTTTTAATTTTGTAAACAATGCTGCTGCTGCTGCTGGATAATGTTAATACGACAGGCTCGTAGGCTAATGACCAAAGACATGAGAGATGCACTTTGCATGCGTGTGTGTGTGTTCTATACATAGTTGGTGAGCGGTGGTGTAGCGGTTAGCGCTACGCTGCGCTGCGAACCTGGCGACCCGAGTTCGATTCCCTGCTCACGGCCAACACCGATTATCTGAACCGGTCCCGGGCCTCCTCTAGGTCGACTCGGCCTCAAATGAGTACCTTGTGCGGTGTGTAAACATCGCCGCTAGGGAGACAAAGGCGGCCGGGCGTGGTGTTGGCCACCCACCCCCTCGTGTGCCGTGCCGGCCTTTATAGGTGCTCGCTAACAGCACTTGCCCCTGCAGTCTGTTACAGGCTATACGGGGGATATGTTTGCTAATCTTTGTTGTATACATCGCCACTGGGGAGACAAAGGCGGCCGGGCGTGATGCTGGCCCACTCACCCCACTCGTAATGCCGTGCCGGCCTTCATAGGAGCTGCTACTCGCTCCTAACGGCGCCAGCCCCAAACAGCCTGTGAACATCTTCTTGGTTCTTTCGGTAACAGGCTACACGGGGGACCTTTGCTGTTGTTTTGTGTTTTACGATGCCGCTTTAAAGGAACGCGTGCTGCGCTTTGCGCGTGGGTGCGCGAGCTTCAAATAGCAGGCGCAATAGGCGACGTTTCGGGCAAGGGGGCCCCCCTTCCTTTAGTCGCTTGTTGTTGTTGTTATTGTTGTTGTCGTCCTTGTTTCGTTTGGCCAAACTTCTTCTCGCTCGGCGTGTGGGCCACGTCTCCCCTCCTCCTCCCCTCCCTACGCGCGCGTCTTCTCGTCTCGTGCGCGCGAGTTTCTGTGAGCGCGCGAATGAATTCCCCCACGAAACGATGTGTTTGTTTGTCTGTCTGTTGTTGTTGTTATTACACACTTGTACTTACTGTACGTGGGGAAATCACGTACAGTCGTAGAGCGGTTCACGCACGCACACACACACACAACGTACACGCGGAATACTGTACTTAGCGTGTTGGCGGCGGATGCGAGGCTGGGACGCGGAGAGTGAAAGGGGTAAGGGAGGTGGAGGAGGAGGAGGTGGAGGAGGGAGGGAGGGTGGCGATGGGGGGGGAGGGTGCCGAGTTGGGGGAGTAGGAGGAGAGGACGGGACAGCGGGAGGAGGTAAGAGGGAGGTTGGTTGGGCCGAGGGAGCCGTGTGGAGATTGTGATGAGGACAAGGGGGGTGCTGGGTGGGGTGGGGTGGGGGGGTTGGGGTGATGAACGGGGTGGGTGCAGGGTTGCAGAGGGAGGTGATAGTAGGGGGTTGAGGTTGGGTAGGGTAGGAGAGGGGTCTGTATGGTGGAGGGGGGGGGGGTTGGTTGGTTGGGTGGGTGAGTGGAAAGAGATGGGGGGGGGGGGGTCACAGGGTGGGGGCGGGGGGGGAGAAAGAAGCTGTCAATCACCGAGACGCTGCCCAATCGCGTGCGTGCGTCGAGCAGAAGTGAATGTTGGTGCGGTGACGTCACGCGCGCCAGGTGTCGCGCGCGCGCGCGCGCGGCCGCCGTCCCCGCTCGGAGCGGCGCTCCTATTAAGATTGGGGCGAACCTCGTGCAGTGGGAGAGAGTCGGGAACCACAGCGGAGGAGGAGGAGGAGAGAGAGCTCCAACGCTCTCTCCACTCCTCTCTCTCTCTCTCTCCCGATCTCTCTCTCTCACCGCTTTGCGTCTCGAGCTCCGAGCCGCCCGTTGGTTGTTCACTCCATCCAGCTCAATGATGCGCTCCGTAACTTTTCTTGTCGTTGGTTAGGTGACTTAACGGGGTATTGCAACGCGAGTTGGTGGGGGGGGGGTGGAAGGGGGTGGTGGTGGTGGGTGTGTGGAAGAGGGTGTGGTGGGGGGAGAGATTTGTGGGTGGGTGGGTGGTGGGGTTTAGGAGGAGAGAAAACTCAAAAAGGAGGGGGGTGGTGGACATCACCCCCCTCCCCTCCTCCACCACCAAAAAAAAAGACGCGAACGAGAGTTGAGCCGCGGAAAGAAAGCAAGAAGACGGCGGCAAACCCAAAAAAATTCCTCGAAAGTGTGCAGAGAAGGCTACGAACATCATCAACAACAACAACAAACTACATCCTTCTCCACGCGAAATGGAATCGTCGGCCGCGGCTGTTAAACGAAACCAGGCGCTGAGGTTGGTGGACCTTGCCGTGAGCCACCAGCACGCGTGCCAGACCCTCGCCGGCTCGGCCTTCAGCGACTTCGCCGGCTACCCGCAGTCGCAGCCGCTCACTCACCCCTCCGTCGAGGGCACCGCGGGGGGGTCCCAGGCGGCGTCGCACGCATTCGAACCGCCCGGGGAAGTTTCAGGATCCGCCCTTAAATTAAGCCCCCCTCCCCATCTGCCGGGACACGTCGATCTCCTGGCGGGGTCCCACCACCACCAGCACCACCACGCCACCACCACCACCGCCACCACCGCGGGTGGCTTTAGTGCTTCTGTCGCGGGCGGGGTGGACTATGGGAGTCCCGTTGCGCGTGCGAACTACTCCGGCGGACGAGACTTCATCATACGCCAGAACATCACGGCAGCGGCGGCGGCGGTGGCTGCCACAACAGCGATGCCCGGCCTCAACGACCCGCTCGGAGACGCCATGAGCAGCGGAGGAGGAGGTGGAGGAGGAGGAGGGGGAGGAGGAGGAGGAGTTGGTGGCGGTGGCCAAGGACACAGGGAGCAGGTTCCGCACGGAGGCGGTCACGGACTCAACGGGCAGATGCGTCTGGCTCTCCCGCTCGACGTTTACGCGCGGCACCACCACCACCATCACCACCACCACGCAGAGTACGCGGCTCAGCTCGGTCGCACCCAGGACCCCTTCTCGGCTGCGGCGGCCGCGGCCGCTGCGGCTGCCGCAGCTGCCGCAGCTGCCGCGGCCGCGGGCTCGTCGCTCCACGGGTTCAGTTCTGGCGCTTTCTTCCGCTACATGCGCCAGTCCGTGAAACAGGAGTTGCTGTGCCGCTGGGCAGAGAGGGGTCCTGTCCCATCCCTGCAGCAGCAGCATCACCATCACCATCATCAGCAGCATCAGCAACAGCAGCAGCAGGGAGGAGCGCCCAAAGCATGCGGACACACGTTCGCGAGCATGCACGAGTTGGTGGCGCACGTCACGGGAGAGCACGTGGGTGGGCCCGAGCAGGCCCACCACGTGTGCCACTGGGACGAGTGTCCCCGCGAGGGGAAGCCCTTCAAGGCCAAGTACAAGCTGGTGAACCACATCAGGGTGCACACGGGCGAGAAGCCCTTCCCGTGCCCCTTCCCCGCCTGCGGCAAGGTGTTCGCTCGCTCCGAAAACCTCAAGATCCACAAGAGGACGCACACAGGTAAACGGCACTCCGCTTGCGAGAGTGTGTACACGTGTGTGTGTGTGCACGTGTGTGTGTGTACACGTGTGTGTGTACACGTGTGTGTGTAAACATGTGTGTGCACGAGTGTGTGTACACGTGTGTGTATGTACACGCGAGTGTGTGCACACGTGTGTGTGTGTGTGCACGTGTGTGTGTGTACACGTGTGTGTACACGTTTGTGTGTGTACACGTGTGTTTTTAAACGTGTGTGTACACGTGAGTGTGTGTACACGTGTGTTTTTAAACGTGTGTGTACACGCGAGTGGGTGTGTGCACACGTGTGCATGTACACGTGTGCGTGTACACGTGTGTGTGTGTACACGCGAGAGTGTGTGTACACATGTGTGTGTACACGTGTGTGTGTGTGTACACGTGTGTGTGCACGAGTGTGTGTACACGTGTGTGTATGTACACGCGAGAGTGTGTGTACACGTGTGTGTACACGTGTGTGTGTGTGCACGTATGTGTGTACACGTGTGTGTGTACACGTTTGTGTGTACACGTGTGTTTTTAAACGTGTGTGTTAACGTGTGTGTGTACACGTGTGTGTACATGTGTGTGTGTACACGAGTGTGTACACGTGTGTATGTACACGTGTGTGTGTGTACACGCGAGAGTGTGTGTACACGTGTGTGTGTGCAAGTGTGTTTGTACACGTGTGTGTGTACATAGGTAGGTGGGGCGGTTGATGGGATGGGATGTGATGGGTGGGAGGATGAGGGGGGGGGGGTTATGGTTGGGTCTACGGGAGGGTGAGTGTGTGTGTACACGTGTGTGTGTACACGCGCGTGTGTGTACACGCGTGTGTGTGTGTACACGTGTGTGTGTACGCGTGTGTGTACGCGTGTGTGTGTGTGTACACGTGTGTGTGTGTACACGTGTCTGTGTGCAAAATGTCAGCTCGATTGGATCACGGGAAGTTGGTTAAAAAACGACCGAAATATTTGCACGGTCCTAAGCAAGCAAGCGAATTTAATATAAAGGATTTAACAAGTAAACCCGTAAAAACAAAGTTTTTCACTATAAATTCTTTATATGCGTGGCGGCTAGAGTCCTCTCGTCCTCTGGCTTGAGATGGCTGCCACCTATGGGTTTAGATGATTGTCTGCCAGTATTAAGCAATTGGTAATTAAATATTTAATTTGTTTTCCCTAAACAGTGTAAAATTTTGGTAAAAAGATTTTCACGAACATTAATTGTCTCGCACAACTAGTCTGTGTGCAAAATGTCAGCTCGATTGGATCACGGGAAGTGGGTTAAAAAACGACCGAAAGATTTGCACGGTCGTAAGCAAGCAAGCACGCAAGCACGCAAGCAAGCAAGCACGCAAGCAAGCAAACTTAATATAAAGGATTTAAAAAATGAGAGACCGGATTAACCACAAACCACCCCTCCAGCCCCCCTCCTCCTCCAGCACCGCGGATGTCTGTGCGGTCCCCGTGTTTGCTTGACCGTCTCCGCATGTTGGGAACCCGGTTTTGGGATCATCTCGAGGTAGGGGTGGGGGGGATGGCGGGGAGGGGGAGGGGGCAATGAGTGGGGGAGTGGTGGTGGTGGAGAAGGGGGCATTATCGGTGGTACGCGTTTCAACTCGTTACGTCGTCTGTACTGGAGCCACTGTTGGGTCGGAAGGGCTCACGGTGGGGTTGGGAGGCTCATGGGAAGGTTTCAAGAAATAATAGAAATAAAAAAATAACTCACGACGTTTCGGAGGCAACACAAGCCTCCGTCTTCAGGTGGAATAGTCACAGCACAATTGCTGTATCAAGTATTATTTAAATTATTTATGTTTATTATTTATTTTTTACCTACGTGACTTTACCGAAAAGACCTATGAATCCTTGCAGTCACGAAATCTTCAAATCTAGAATTAAGGGTTCAACAGTCGCGTCTTCCCTTCTCGCGACCGCTAGAGTGACCGCCTACCCGCTAGAGTGACGGTCTTCTCCCCAGTATCACGACTTTCTACCCGGTATCACGACTCTCTACCCGGTAGAGCGACTCTCTACCCAGTATCACGACTCTCTACCCGGTATCACGACTCTCTACCCAGTATCATGACTTTCTACCCAATATCACGACTCTCTACCCAGTATCACGACTCTCTACCCAGTATCACGACTCTTTACCCAGTATCACGATTCTCTACCCAGTATCACGACTATCTACCCAGTATCACGACTCTCTACCCGGTATCACGACTCTCTACCCAGTATCACGACTCTCTACCCAGTATCACGACTTTCTACCCAGTATCACGACTATCTACCCAGTATCACGACTCTCTACCCGGTATCACGACTCTCTACCCAGTATCACGACTTTCTACCCAGTATCACGACTCTCTACCCGGTATCACGACTCTCTACCCGGTATCACGATTCTCTACCCAGTATAACGACTATCTACCCAGTATCACGACTCTCTACCCGGTATCACGACTCTCTACCCAGTATCACGACTCTCTACCGAGTATCACGACTCTTTACCCATTATCACGACTCTCTACCCAGTATCACGACTCTCTACCCAGTATAACGACTCTCTACCCAGTATCACGACTCTCTACCCAGTATCACGACTCTCTACCCGGTATCACGACTCTCTACCCAGTATCACGACTCTTTACCCAGTATCACGACTCTCTACCCGGTATAACGACTAGCTACCCAGTATAACGACTTTCTACCCAGTATCACGACTCTCTAGCCAGTATCACAACTCTCTACCCAGTATCACGACTCTCTACCCGGTATCAAGACTCTCTACCCAGTATAAGCACTCTCTACCCAGTTTAACGACTGTCTTCTACTCCCGTAAGTCATCCACGTACTGTCAGCCTTTAGCCTTGCATACTGCTAGCTCTAAGTACTGATAATTCTAAGCACTGCTAGTTCTAAGTACTGCTAAATCTAAGCACTGCTCGCTCTAGGTAATGCTAAAATTTAGCACTGTTCGCTCTAGGTACTACTAAATCTAAGCACTGCTCACTCCAAGTACCGTTATCAATGCATACTGTTAGCCCTACGTTCTGTTAGCTTCACGCGAGGTTAGCCCAAGTACTGTTCGCCTCACACGCTGTTTAGCCCTCTGTACTGTTCGTCATACGTACCGTGATTATTATTGTTGTTGTTAAGAAGCACACGAGTCAGGAGTTGCGTGACTCTTCGCTTCAACTGAAACACAAAGCGCGGACTTTTACCGGCCCTGTATTTATTTTTTAAAAGCAGAGAGGTGGGTGGTGTGGGGATGGGGGACTGCGTCTTATAATCCGGTGGGTACGTGTAAGTAAGTGTGTCTGTGTGTAAGAACAGATTTTGCTGTTGTTGTTGTTGCGTGGACCCGTAATTGAAACTGGGTAAACAAAACAAAACCGGAGCGGCGTCTTTAATTCCGCAAAGGTTTCTAATCTGGGGAATGCGGTACCGATATTTTTTAGGGTTGTGTCCGCGCACGGTTTGCAGTTCGCTCCTGTCTGTTTTATTGAATCTATCTGTGCGGCGTTTCGGATATCACCCCCCCTTGTGTGTACCGCGCGTATCGCCAAATCTCTCACAGTGTAATGGAATTGGCCGAACAGCCCAATGGTTAGCAGCAACCTCCTGTACATGTAGTCTTGAGACTCAGTGGGGCGTTCCCGAGTTAATCAATGGCATTATATGTTAATTTGCCATTTTTATATCGTGATAATTTCAGTGTCCCTTAATTAAATATATGATGTCGTGTAAAAAGTCCACTCGCACTCAAGAAAAGTCGGTGTGTGATGATTTTAATGATTCAATTTTAACCACCCACTCACCAACCCACTCACTCACCACACTGCACGTCACAACAACACACTCACTCACCAGTCACACACAAACTCACCCTCTCACTCACCACACTGCAGGTGACAACAACACACTCACCCACCCACTCACTCACCCACTCACCCTCTCGCCCACTCACTCACCCTCTCGCCCAATCACTCACCCACTCACCCTCTCACTCACCACACTGCAGGTGACAACAACACATTCACCCTCTCACCCACTTACTCACCCACTCACCCTCTCGCCCACTCACTCACCCACTCACTCACCCTCTCGCCCAATCACTCACCCACTCACTCACCCTCTCGCCCAATCACTCACCCACTCACCCTCTCGCTAACCACAGTGCAGATCACAACAACACATTCACCCTCTCACTCACTCACCCACTCACTCACCCACTGACCCTCTCGCCCACTCACTCACCCACTCACTCACCCTCTCGCCCACTCACTCACCCACTCACTCACCCTCTCGCCCAATCACTCACTCACTCACCACACCGCAGGCCATCACCACTCCCTCTCTGCTTCTTTCCCGTGCACCGATCCACTCTAGAATTCGATGCCCTCCCATCATCGTCGCCTCTTCCCTCCAAGTTTTCTATTACACGGTCAAAAAACACAGCCTTGGTCATGATTTCAAGAATCATACACCGAGCTATTACAACCTGTTTGTCGCTGGCCGTTTGGCGTATTTAATTGCTTATTTCGGCCTGTGGCTCGGCAATAACCCTGGGATACTGTATCACGAAACAAGATTGTCTGTCTGTCTATCACTCGCCAGCAAAGTTGGGTTCTACTGCGGGTCACAGCTGCTACCCTTGCCAGCAACTCGTGGCGCTGTAACCCTAACCCAGGAGGTCAGGTCGCCAACGAAACTAACAATAACAGAAATATTTTGTTGTTGTTCGAGGTGAGATGGCCTCCTTAATAAGTAACTGTCACGAAGAAGCAACAGTCCTTCAACAATCAGAGAGCCGCGTGTGTCGCTGCTCCGTAATTCGAAGGTTGCCGACCCCGGAAACCTCCCTCGCACGTAGACCCACGTGAGCGCACGCATTGCACAATAGCGGTGGCGAGCCGGGAGATCGGCCTCGAAAAATAAAACAAAAATAATTGTTATCAAGGACAGCAAAAAAAAATATTACGCGGACGAAGTGAC